GGAAGTGCCAGGATCAGCTCCCCTTTCTGCCTGATTGGCGCTTCTTCTGCAGCTGATCTTGGTGCTTCTCCTGAGTCCCGAAGAAGCACCAATCTCCTGGAAAGTGACATTGATCCTGGTGCATCTGCTGAGCCCTGAAGAAGCGCCTATCACCTGGAAAGCAACATTGATCCAGGCCAGTGCACTCACACACACACAAACACGTGCAAGCAGTTACAGCTGAAGGCGTTTCAGCCTTCAACTATGGCTCCCAGTCCTCTGGCACCTCATTGGCTCAGGCCAGCCACCCGTCCCATGATTGGCTGGCTCCCTGAACACGTCCCACCCATGCAGAAAGGGTTTGGCTCTTCATGCCGGCTTGCCCCTTTGCGGGGCTTCTGATACTGTAAGCCCTGCTATCCGGGAAGGCGCACTGGAGTCCCGGCTACCGGTAAGGTGATCCACCCACTCCTCTCCCATTGCCCACTCTGCCTGGCTCGAGCCTGGCTGGAGCAGCCTTGGTGCTTCCAAAGGTGGCCACTTCAAAGTCAAAAGGACAGCCCTCGGCCTCTCCCTTCTGCGCCTCCAAATCGGTCCCCAATTGGAGAGAGAGAGAGAAAGGGAGGGAGGGAGGAAGGGAAGGAAGAAGAGAGGGAGGGAGAAAGAGAGAAATAGAGAGGGAGAGAGAGAAAAGGAGAGAGGGAGAGAGAAAGAGAGGGAGGGATAAAGAGGGAGGGAGAAAGAAAGAGAGGGAGAGAAAGGGAGAGAGAAAGAAAGGGAGAGAGGGAAAGAGAAATAGAGAGGGAGAGAGAGAAAGGGAGAGAAAAGGGGAGAGAGAAAGAAAGGGAGAGAGAGAAAGAGAGAGAAATAGAAGGGGAGAGAAAGGGAGAAAGAAAGAGGGAGAGAAAGAAATAAAGAGGGAGACAGAGGGAGAGAGAAAGAGAGAGATTAATTAGTAACATGGTTGTTAAGTGAATCTGGTTTCACAACTAACTTTGCTTGTCAGAAGGTTGCAAAAGGTGATCACATGATCCTGGAACAATGTGACCATCATAAATATGAATCAGTTGCCAAGCATCAAAATGTAAATCACATGACCCTGGGGATGTTGCAATGGTCATAAGTTTGAAAAATGGTCATAAGTCACTTTTTTCAGTGACGTAACTTTGAACAGTCACTAAGCAAATTATTGTAAGTCAAGGACTACCTGTACTTTATCATTTTTTTCCATTTTGGGGGGGTCAAGTTTTTGACACCTCGCTAGGTGACTGGTGGTACTCGAATGTTGCCATATTCTAAAAGTGGTACAATCAGTGAAAAGGTTGAAAAGCCCTGATCTAAATAATAATATCAGTAGGAGTGAATCCACTGTTTTTCCAACAAGATTGGAAATACTTTTATTTTTAATGTGATGGTGTAATAAGTTCTAATCCAGGAACTTTCAGTTTCATTGCTTAATTTTCTTTCCATTTTACTGCTTATCTTCAAACCCAGTTTGTTTTTGTGATTAATCACTATATTTTAATTATGTTCAATTTGTAACAATGAAAATACATCCTGCATATCAGATATTTACATTACGATTCATAACAGTGGCAAAATCACAGTTATGAAGTAGCAACCAAAATAATTTTATGGTTGGGGGTCACCACAACATGAGGAACTGTATTAAAGGGTCACGGCATTAGGAAGGTTGAGAACCACTGGTCTAGAGCATATCGAGCATTGCCCCCAAATTGGACTGGAATCTGCTATCCAGGGGTAGTGATACCTGAATTCTTTCTATTAGAAAATGAAAAGGATAATGAAATACAAATCCCCTCGTATAAAAACATATAGGGGAAAGAGGAAAATAGCTAAATCCCCAGAACAGAATTGGAAGGGTGTATGGTCCACAAATAGAATAATAAAAGTATTACAACCAGTAACCTGGAATTGGTGAACCATATGAGGATATAGGTATACTTTGATCAATGGAATAATAAGATTACAAGCTGTGGTAGAAGTAATAGCTAATCGAACAGCTACAGCTCTAGAATTACTGGCTACTGATATAGGACAAATTAGAGAAGCTCTAATTCAAAATCAAATGGCTTTAGATTATATATTAGCTTCTGAAGAAGGAGTATTGGAAAATTTAATTACACTAACTGTTGTTTACAGATAGATGATAATCATGAAGCAGTGATGGACATTGCAAAAGGAATCAGGAATGTGGCCAAAGCTCCTGAACAAAAGTATGAAAATATGTGGGGTGATTGGAGTTGGTTACCAAATTGGCTTCCCAATTTTGGATGGTTAAAACAAATATTTATAGGACTAGTGTTTATAGTTGTGATAGATATTATGTGTTGTGTTTGTCTCCAATGTTTACCCTGCTGTATTTCCTTTTGCACCAAATTCCTGCAACCATTCTTCATATGTTTTATTCTCCAGGCCCTTAATAATCTTAGTTGCTCTTCTTTGCCCTTTTTCCAAAGTCTCAACATCTTTTTTGTAATGACCAAAACTGGATGCAGGTATGGCCATACTAAGGCTTTAAAAAAGCGGTAGTAATATTTCACGGAATTTTGATTCTATGCTTCTCTTTATACAACCAAGGATTGTATTAGCTTTTTTGGCTGCTGCCGCACTCTGCTGGCTCATATTTAAATGATTGTCCAGTAGGACTCCAAGGTCCCTCTCAGCTACTCTTTTTGAGCCAGGTTTCACCTAACCTGTACTTTTGCGTTTGGTTTTCCTTGTCCAGGTATAAAACCTTCCTTTTCTCCACATTAAATTTTATGTTGTTTTGAAAAAATTTTGGAGAAACGAATAAGAACTACAATAATAACAATAGTAATGTATTAAATGTATATGAGTATATGTATACCTTTTTAAAATGAAAATTATCAGCACTTTTGATCAGCGACATCATCAAAGTAAACAAACCCACATGCTGATTACGTCACCAGGTCATGGCCCTAAGCGGAAGCAAGAGTAGCACTAGCAGCCCTATTTTCAGATAAGATGTGTTGAACCTAACCTCATCAAGAAAGTTGTGGCAGTCAATCCTCTGGGTACATGATTTGCTAAACCGTAGACTAATTCTATGGACATTCAAAACCAAAAAAAGCTAAGTAAAGTGAACAATCAGCAGAGTCCTGTATTTTTGGAAAACAAACCCCTACTATGGGGAGCTGTGAAATTTTTTAAAAAAATGCTTTTTATTTCTAAAATAAATGATGCTTTTAATTTTTGTGGAGTTTTAAAAATCAGTGCCTCAAAAGCTGGGGAAAAAGGAGCCCCTAAAAGGCAGCCAGGGCCTGCATTTAGCCCCCTTTTTTGTAAAAGGTATTTATTTCTAGGCGGTTTTTAAATCATTTTCTCGAATGCAGGAGGAAAAAAAAAAACCACAGCCCTTTTAAAACCCTGCAGCTGGTTTTTACTTTGTAAAAATCTAAAGATACATATTTTGCCAATTGCACCCTGAAATCCTCATATACACATAACTATTCGAAGCACGGCCTTAATAAAATTTATTCTGCCCCCCTACAGCAAAAGACAAGGAATATTAACAGGAATTAGAATGCTCACAAGAGGCAAGCAGCCAGGCAGCAGGTAGGGGTTAAGACTTGTTCAGGCATGTCAGGACCGCAATTCTGGGCATGCATGTTTCTGTCTGCTAGTAAAAAAGGGGGTTAGGCCTTGTTTGGGACATGCCCGGGCATGTCATAATCCCCGTGATTCTGGGCATGCGCAATGCTCAAAGGCGTGTCATTGCAAGGGCAGGGGAGCTTGTGTGGGCAGGCCTGAACAGCTAGCGATTTAATTCCAGCAGTCTTTTGAAGGTGGCAAATACTGATGGAGATTTGTTTCATGTAAATTTGACCCCCAAACCTCCCAAGCGTGGGCGTAGAATAAGAAAAGGACCTGAGCTTCATTGAAGAGAACAAACTTATAAAGTCTTGTTATTGCAGGTTCTGCAAAATATCAAATGGTAAGTAAATATAAAAAATTAAGAAAACAGTATTTTGATTAGTTGAAACAGCTAGCCTAATTCTACCTTATTTCCTGTTTTAGAAACAATGGAGTCTCACAATGTCAGCATGCCTCAGACTCTGAAAGTGTGTATCTTTAAAATATTACACCATTGTTTAATGGGATGTCTACAATCAGATGAAGATCATGTGGATAATACCAGTGAAACAGAGCTTATTAACAGCTTATGCTTTAGACTTTCTATGCCTCATGTTCTCTGGATCATCATCAGTATTTCTGACAAAATGAATACCTTATATTTCACCCGGGATTCCCTTGGTGAGCTCAAGACATTCATACAGCGTATCGAAAAGAAACGTAAACCATTGTCATTAATGTCAAAGATTGAAGCTGAATTGCCATAGTCTCTGAAGAGGTTCATATGCCAGAATGTAACAGAAATTAATTACAAGAAACTGTTAATGCTATGAAATTTATAATAAAATGTGCTTTACAAATCACATGAAAGATGTATTATGTTTTTTTTTTCTTTTGCTGGCCCCTGTTTAACGTTGTCAGATGTTAAACACAATTTAATCAAAGCTCATGTGATATTCTTCAATTGGGTTTTCCTCATGAGGTGGGGCTGGCCAGTTTTGCAAAAGTTGTAAAGAACTCACCAATTCTGATATGATTAATTTGTAACATCACTTACTATTCAAATGCAGCTTCCTGGGCAGTTAAGGGTAGACAGCTTTTCAAAAGGTGTGAAGAACACACTTCTGCTGATGTGATTAATTTGTGACATCACCAGCATGTATAAAACAGGGTCCATACTGGTCCAGTCACGTTTGCTGATTTCTGGTATATCGATACCTCTGGAGCCATTTGATCTGCTAAGAAGTCCCTTTTCAGAATGGAAGCTACTATCGTAAGTAGTTTTATGGCTAATTTTTGAAACACTTAGATGCAAAATGGAGTTTTATAATATTCTTGTCTGCTTGCTTGTTTGATTGATTGATTGTTTTATTTCACTGGAATGAATTGACAGACTCAGAATGTTTGAGGGTATATGAAGGTATTTATTTGTCTTTCACACTTTCATATATTTAGATTCTGACAAAAATTTCTGCAACAATTCTGACCATTGGGATTTTTCTTTTCCTTCAGAATGGGAGGACGATCAGCCATTTGCAGATCTCACAATCCCCACAGAGCACCAAGGGGCCCATCATGACATGAGCCCTCAGCCTTCCACAAGCCACACAACACGAATGCTGTTAGGAGGTATAATATCTAGCATTTTATCCAACTACAAAACCATTAGTATTATTTTTTAGAAAGTAAAAGGGGGTGGGGGGAATTACATTATTAGGAATGTTGGTGATAGTCATTTGTTTGTTTGTTTGTTTGTTTGACCAGAGCCGGCCTGCAAAAAAGCAAAAATGCATGGAGGTGGACTTCCAGCATTCCCAGCAGACAGTCATAATTGTGATTCTATGCCTGCATCTCAACCAGAAGGGGAGATATGTCATTCTAAGCCACATCTACAAGCCCCTAACTCTGCAAACTCTCAGAATACGAACAATGTTTATCTGGATATGGTGCAGGCATGGGAGAAGCCTATCCAAAATTTCAGGGCTATGGACTACTATTATCGATATAGATTTGTTAATCTTGACCAAATCCAGTCTTTTGTAGATGCTATAGAGGTTATTCATAATGCGATACAGACTCTTTTGAATAATGTTGCTAGGGACATAGGTCCAAACGATTTTGTTTAACTCTGGTTGGATGCAATGGGGTTAAATCATCCTCTCTTTTCTATTAGGAGGCATGTGATGATTTAAATGCTGATGATTTTCTGACCAGTGTTGAAAATCTGCTTCAAAGTAAGGCAGAGATATTGTGTGTGTGTGGGGGGGGGGGTAATTTACAATTAGTGGTTACCATCCTGAACAAGGAGGGGGGAGGGCTTAGGAAGTTAAACACTGTGCTGCTCACCAGAGTACTGGAGAAAAAAAGACAGCACCTAGTAGATTTCAATGTGGGAGATGAATTTCTGTGTTTTGCTAGCTGTTTACTCTGGCTGATTGGTGTGGATGTTAGAAAGCAAGAAATTATTACGAGGGAACTTCACAGCAGATTGGGTGTTTCCACAGAAAACAGGATTGACTTTTCTCAGATACACCTCTTTGAAGAAGATTTAAGGGTCACTATAAATATCTTGTTTTATATGCAGGATGGGTTTAGGTTTTTTGTCACAGGTAGCCCCCATCAAGAAAAAAATAGTGTTTATATTGTTACACGACAAACATGACTATGGCATCAAAAATATCAAGTGCTTCCTGGGTGAACGCTAGTTCTGTAAATTCTGCCACACACCCTACCACCACAAATTTAGTCATGGCTGTCAATATATCTGCAGAGCATGCCTCAACCAAGAATGTCAGCAGGTTGTGGAGGAGAAGACGCACTGCTGTAGGTGCAAAGTGTTTTGCCGGTCTAAGGTGTGTTTTGAAAGACACACACAGCTTGCTATGGAGGGAAAAGTTGACTGTAAGAATAAAGAATATTGTGAAACATGTGGGGTTTATGTCTTTAACCCCCACAAAAAGTGCAAGGAAACCAAGTGTGGACAGTGCTCTGAGAAGGTTGAAATCTTAGAAGGGCATTTATGCTTTCTAAAATTGTTGGGCCGACTGGAAATTGGCAAAAGATACATCTTTTATGATTTTGAATGCTGTCAAGAGATAGGCGCCCATATTCCTAATTATGGCTGTGCCAGGGATATGTTGAAGGATGGGTATGATAAAGATGTTGTGAGGGGGGATTGTTATGGTGTTAGATCCCTGGAGCAGTTTGTAAAGAAATTTATAAATCATAAGTTTAAAGGATGTACTTTTATCGCTCACAACTCCAAAGGTTAGGACAGATACCTAGTACTGAGGCAGCTGATCTGTGAAAAGGTTAGGGTACAACTTATAAGTCGGGGGGGGGGGAAACTGTTGTATATCACCCTTCCGGATTATAAGATTTGGTTTATTGATAGCCTCTCATTTTTGCCCCTTAAATTAAGCAAATTACCCAAATCTATGGGGTTTCAAGGCAGCAAAGGATATTTCTCCCACTTGTTCAATACAATGGCCAATGAAAACTACATGGGACCACTCCATGAAACCAAGTATTACAGCCCTGAAACCATGATGCCCGGGGAGAGAAAAAAAATCATGAAATGGCACTCTGCTAATACAGGTACTGTGTTTAAACTAAAGAAGGCTCTGGCTTACTATTGCAGACAAGATGTAGATATATTAAGAGAGGCCTATATTCGCAGCGTGCCATTTCATGAATTCTTCTCTCTCCCCGGGCATCATGGTTTCAGGGCTGTAATACTTGGTTTCATTAAAAGGAGATCCAACCTCGAACTAAGGAGAAATTTTCTGATCTGGGAATAATTAATCAGTGCGAATGGCTTGCCTTCAGAAGTTGTGGTTGCTCCATTACTGGAAGTTTTCAAGAAAAGACTGGACAGCAATGGGGACACGGTCTGGACTGGTATAGGACATGGGTCTTCAAACTTGGCCCTGGCTGAGGAAGTCTGGGAGTTGAACAAGTCATAAAAGGGCCAAGTTTGAAGACCTCTGGTATAGGGTCTTCTGCTTGAACAGGGCATTGAATTAGAAGATCTCCAAAGTTCCTTCCAACCCTATTATTCTATATTCTATTATTCTGCCCCCCCAATAAATGAATAACAGCTGCAACTCGACATGTCTGAAAATTGTATGCTCACTTGGACAAATTTTAGCCCATTTCTCCTTACAGAAGACTTTCAACTCAGGGACGTTGGTGGTTTCCTTGCATGATCTGCCCGTTTCGGGTTCTTTCTTCTTTTGTCATGTTTGCTTTACCTTAATCACCATAGTATAAAAGCCTGTTTTCTTTTGTTCACTGTAAAAGCACTATTGATTTTTTTTCTTATGTTGTATTATATTTTGTTTGCTTGCATTTTGCTCTATCCCTTTCTGACTCTGACTTTATCTTCCACATAAGCAATAATGAAAATGTTTCACAGAGTTTGTGAGACTTGATGTACAAGATAAAACATTAGAAAACAACATTAAGATATGAATGAGTATTATTTTAAATGCAAAAATGGTACCGCTTACCCTAATAGCAGGACTGAAGGGAACAGCCACTTTTTTTGTGATTGCTAGATAGCCAGATGCTGAGGCTGTCACTTTATAATTTCCAGGTACCAACAGCCTCCAGTAATCTCCATCCTTTGCTAAGGAAACAGAAAGATGCCACTATATTTTTAAAAAAACTTTAGGTACATGCTTAAGTGCTACTGAAATATGTTTGATCTGGTTTGTTTTCTAATTAAAATCTCAAGATCCATTAACTGGAGCCAAGTGCAAAATACAAGAGTGACTTTGGAAAGGGGAAGAAAAAGCCTGGAACACAGTATATTTTTGTTCTTTTTATCCTAAACCATGAAAACATAAAACTTTGCATTATTTTAAGATATTCATAAGCATAGTAATTTTGCTCATGAATGTCTTAAAATAATAAAAGGTTTTATGCTCTTTTTTGTAAATAGGAAACTGGATTAACAAGTAAGTGATAAGAGAAAGGGTTGCAATTTTGCAAATGTCAATTTTAATGTGGCAAATCTGACTGATTGAGAGGAAGCAATTTTATCTGAATTCATCCAGTTCTGAAATAAAATTTAATTTTAATTTTCTTTTATATAGGAGTTCAGCACAAAATTTTCTCCACCCATTGGCCAACATTTGACAGATATCATCTATTTTCATAAGAGGCCCCTAATCTGAACATTTTGTCCATTAAAGGTAATTGTGACTTTCCAATTATAGTTAAATGAAGGCGTAAAGATTTGAATTTCTGAATTAAGATTTAGATTTCGTCCTGAATGAAACAGGAAAATGGGCTCATTCTAGATAAGTCTAATGATGCTATTTTTTAGTTCCAATGTTTATTTTAAAAACCTGAACACACACATGTTACAAGTGGAAACATTGCTTTTCTTTTTGGCAATGCCTATCCATTCACAAAGGAATGTTTTGGCCATTAGAAGTTTTCCTCAGTGGCAAAAAAGGCTAAGATTGCTTTTGCAATTATTCTTCTAGTCATATCCTCTTTGCTTTCCAAAATCATATACAAGGAATGCAGGACCATCAAGGATAGCATGGAAAGTTGCACAAGACAAGCAGTGAAAAATCACTTCTTCCATCCTTCAGTAGTAGAGAACACTAACACCCCACCCCCCAGAAAATAGAAAAGGATATTGCTATATTTATCCATGTATCAACATTCATCATCTGTCTCAATATACATATGAATACTTACCTGATGTAATGTCATGGTTTATCCCCTCTACAGAAATTGTGGCATTAGCAATGGGATTACCCTGACGATCTCAAATAAATCCTTTTATTCCTCGATGTATTTTAAAAATAAAGCACAAAACGTCTTGTTATATATCTAAATAATATACTTACAAAAGAGAAGAGAAAAAAGAACCTAGAACCGTGATGGTGAACCTATGGCACATGTGCCACAGGTGGCACGCAGAGCCCTCTCTGTGGGCACGTGCACCATCACCCCAATCCTAGGCCTTCAACTGGGTTTTATAAAACTTTTTCGCTTTCGGCCTCCGCTGCCATATGCAAAAACAAAAAGTTCAATTAATCAATCAATTTCAACTTCTCGCTAAAAAAAAAGATCTTGCCATTACCATTGCAGCCATGCCTACCCAATGGGCCATGGCCATCTGGCACCCGACGATACATAAGTGGGTTTTGGCTTGCAGTTTGGGCACTCAGTCTCTAAAAGGTTTGCCATCACTGACCTAGAACGTTTCACCACAATTAGCTTCCTGTTAAAGTTAGTAGACACTATAATTTCCACTTATTGCTAGTGCACTTATCACTTCATCATTTCATTTTTTAAAAATATGCCATTCAGAAAACATCATACTGAGCTGTGAGAACTATAAAAACAATAATGCTAACAGAATGTAAAGTTACCTCAGTCACCATTGTATGCTTCTTGTTAATTTTCATTGTTTCCATAGTTCTCATTTTGTAAGCTACCCAGAGTTGCTTTAATAGTGAGATGGGCTGCATATAAATTTAATAAATAAATACTAAGCAGATAGAGCTTATGGAGATTTCTATCTTTCCATACAAAAACACAGAATATGAGTTTATTTAAGAATAACAAACATTGGTGACTAGCTAATAGGTCAACAATGTATATGCACGCTAAGGCCTCCACTTAGTTACTAGCTGTTTATATACTACTGAAACACCACCTGGGGAAGCTCATTATAAAAGGCAAGTTTTGCCTAGATCATCCTGGAACAGAAAAGGGAACAATGTCACTAATAGCCTGTAAAACCTTCTGGCAAGAACTATATGAGTTCTATGATATTTGCAAGATTTAATTCATTATTTGCTCTACAAACATGTGGATTAATAAGTCATATTTGACAGATTTCTACCTTCAGTCCTACTCTGGCATACTGTAAAAATAAGATTAAAATGTTGCATTTCAGCAATACAAACCTCCTGGAACGCTATACCAGGCACCACCATTAGTTGTCCCATCAATGAAACTGCCGTCATCATCATTCTTGCGACATGGTGGTCAATTTGGGTTTGACATGGCTGGATGAAAAGATGAATAGCTTCAGGCTAAGCTTTGGAAAATAGCGTAATCTGGGCAGGAGCTGTATTCATGTGCACTTCCTGGGAGAACAGTAGTAAAATACATAATAGAGGGTGGAAAGAAAAACAGAGAATGTAGGCCTACTTTAATTATCTGAATCTAGATCATTTAATATTCAGGATTATGCATGATAAGAGCTTCATATGAAGACCACTGGTGTTTATTTAAAACAGACACATCAGGTAACATATTCTTCTTAATAAGCTGTCTCAGCAGCATGAAAAAAACTAAAACAAAATTAAATTAACATAATTTGTGAAAATAGTACTAAACTAAGTAAGAAGAATGGTATCTCATCCTCATTATTATGCCCCGAAAACAGGGGTAGGCAACCTTGGCTCTTTTATGACTCATGGACTTCAACTCCCAGAATTCCTGAGCCAGCCATGCTGAGGGGAAAGGGAGAGGTTTCCAAGCTGAGCCATGCTGGCTCAGGAATTCTGGGAGTTGAAGTCCATGAGTCATAAAAGAGCCAAGGTTGCCTACCCCTGCCCTAAAACCTACTCCAAAGTTCTGTTCCTCTCCTCTTCCATGGGCTCTTCCAGCCTTAAAAAGGGAAAAAAATTGTTTTCTCAGTTTAGAAAACTACAACATACCATAAAAGAAAAAAAAGCCTGCTTCTCTACTGATTAAAAAGAAAAAAATAGTTTATTCTGGGAAGTCTGCAGTAACAGACAAAAAGAGAGGAAATTAAAACTTATAAATAGTGCAAAAGTTAAATTAATTACAATAATGGAAAGTAAAATGTAATCTGTCCAGGTTGGGAATGTGGTTCTCAGCATGCTATTCAGAATCCAGCACAGCCATCAAGCTGACCAAGGCTATTTGGCCTTAGATTTATAGTACATACCAGTTTGAGTTTCGTCATACGGGTAATTTGCCACAAGGTCTCCCCCCTGAAGATTTGTGGACCGTACAAAGGGAATATCCATTATCCAGTGAACCACACCTTTTGTTTCTGGTGCAAGCTATGACAGAAATTTATAAAAATTATAATTAATTAGACTATTGTGATAAGCACTGCACATTTTTTGTAGAACAAATTAAACAACTTTCCAGAATTTTTTCCTGGGAGGCAAAATGGAATAAAATGGACTTGTTTTATATAGTATGTATTCAATATGTACTTTTACTGTATAATGTTTCAACAGAGTATCTGAATGCAATGCACAGATTAATTAATACTGAATGCAAATATAAGTGTTACTTTTGTAATATGCATATGCTATATGTCATGGTTCCGACAGATGAATCTTTTCAAAAGAACTTTGAGACATTATTTTCCTTAAAGAATCTTTTATTCGTGAAACAAAGTATCGGCACTACATAGTTGAAGCCAAAAACTGAATTCCCATCCCCTGGCACAAATTCCCATTCCCAATTAGTAGTCATAAATCACATTCCCCAATTAACTTGAAGCACAGGCTTTCTCCCCATCTTTCCTGCCCGCCAAATTTCTATCAACTCTGGACCTAATAACCTTGAGTTCCCACAGCTGAGTTATTATTGTTATGACTAGCTGGATTCTTATCCACCTTCCCGTCCCAGCATTAATGAACTCTAAAAGCAATAGAGAAAAGATGGCTACATTTCCATCTGTTGTCAAAGCAAGAACATCCGATGTTAGCAGCGTTGACACTATAATAATATTCTGCTCCCACATACACACACACAATTTCTGTATCTTGGCAAAATCTGATAGTTGCCAGATATCCAGATTTCCAATAAATCTTTCAGTACTAGCAAAAAAGAAGGACTTATAAAATTTGAAGAAGAATCCTAGGGCTGGAGGCAAATCTGAAGTGAGTCAGAAATCAGAAATTCAGTGTGAAGTCCAAAAAGCAGATTCAGAGAGAGGGAGGGCACAAATTATAAGGTCCATCAACCCATCAAAATATCAGAAATCATCTTCTTTCTTAACAAAGTCACCCTAATGAAAGAAGGTGTCACTATAGAAGGTTCTTTATTCAGATGTTGTTGTGATCCATTTCATCTCATCACATGGCATAATGGTCAATTTTCTCTATTGTCACATAAAAAGCTGCAGTCAAATGGTTCACAACATTTGTGAACATCTGGAAGTTCACTTTTCCCTTTCTCACTTGTCTCCCATCCTGACACTTCTTACATTTATGATAAATTCCCATTTGATTCTATTTGGTACAAAGATAATAAAGGAAAGAAGAAGAGAGCAGAGGAATGATAAGACACTCAACTCTTTTTCCTCTCTTACAAAATGCCTCACTCCCTGCACTTGCTTGTGGCAGCTGGAGTCTGAATATATTTGAATAGCACCAAGATGTGAAATGGCAACATTGATCAATTAAGTTAGTTGTTTCAGATCCCATTTTGTATTAAATAAGAGAAGTAAGGGCAAGTAAGGGCAAACAAGTCATATTCCAGCTTTTTCTTGTATTCTTGTATTTTTCTTAAGTATTGTTGAGAGTGGAGAAGACAGGGTGCGTAAAATATATGTTTTTGTCTCCTGAACTCTTATGGTTCTCCTGGCAGTTCTATAGTCCATTTTGTTAAATCTTCTTTCTTATCCTCAGGTTTATTTTGATGTTCTGATAATAAAGTATCTTTTCCATTTTTATTGTTATGTCAAAGTCTTGCAGGTTTTTTTCCTATTTGTGTTAAATTATAATTCTCTTCATTTGTTGCTTCACTAATTAAGTCATTTTCTTCTAGTTTATGTTCTATTATCTGATTTGTTTGTTCATTTTGTACAGTCATTTTCTGAGTGTTTTTTGATTGTGGGTTTAGATTAGAGATGTGCTCATTTATGTTGTCAAAGTTATTTTTAATCTCCTCATGGTTTGAAGCTATTGTCATTTGTATCTGTCATAACATTACATACGTTTCCTCCTGGAAAGTATTTGTCTTGTCTTGAAATGTTGCCTCTGGAGATCTTTGATATTTCAGGTTAGGTCCTTCAGGAGTAAGTATTAAATGTGGTTTTCTGTCATGTTTTGGTAAGAATGCAATATCCATGTTGTCTCCCCCTTTCAAATAGTCCTTCATCAGTGCCATAGTCTCTATAATTAGCCTTATCAAACCAGCCAAACTCAGAATCCAAACAGCTCAATTTTATATAGTTCTTATCTTATATACTGTATATAGTTTTTATAATCCACTGTATTTCCAATTTTCAAGGCATCAGTAAAATCAGTATTTTATAACAGTTCTTTTATTCACTTTTCAACCAGTCAAAATTGCAGTTCTCTTTATTTAGTCACCTTGAGTCCTTTCTATAGATTCCTCCCTAAAAGATTAGCAAAGCAATGCGAACTGGAAGTTGCCAATCACCTGGCCGACAGGTGGGCTCGGCTCCACTGCGCTGGAAGCACAAGGCACAGGCGCCCCTGAAAATGGACCGGAGGGAAAGCAGAGCAGAAGGGAAATCTGAAACCACCCTCCCCCCAAAAACCCCACCTCCAGACAGCCTTTCCCCCTCCTTTCTGAACCTGAGGATTTGATCCCAAGAAGCCACCACTGCCGCCTGGACATCCACTGAAGGAGCTTGGGAGGAACAGAGTCCTGAGGTCTTTGCCATCTTGAGCTGCCTGGATTCAGGAATGGCTCGTGCAGCACAGAGACTTCTTCCCTGGGGCTTGCAGTGGCTCTTCCTGGCCACCCTGATGGTCCCCTGTGACACATAAGGGGGGCAGCAAGACGAGGGGGTGCTGCCTGCTACAGGGGCTTCAACCTGTATTTCATTTTGGACAAGTGAATCACTGTCGCGTCGGATGAGCGGGATGAAGCTGAACTTCGTTTGGGGCATAGCAGCCCTGGTTCTGCAGCAGTTTTTTCCCGTTGCTTTGGGTGCCCAATTTGGACAAAAAATGCCTAGCAGATGCCATGTTAATCTTTCCTCTGGAGAAGGTTGAAGGAAAAAGTTTGACTCCTTCACTGATTTCTCTTTTTGCAACATTGCTTTCTTTGGGAAAAGTTCAGCAAAGAGTGGCTGTCAGCTTTGGCCTGTTTGGTTAGACTTACAAAGCCTTGGTAAATTCCTCGCTCAGCTTCCCTGATGGGATGCAATTCCTGTGGAGCAACCATTTAAGACGGGTGGGGAACCTTGACTCTTTTATGACTTTTGGACTTCAACTCCCAGAATTCCTGAGCCAGCCACACTGAGGGGAAATGGAGAGGTTTCCAAGCTGAGCCTTTCTGGATCAGGAATTCTGAGAGCTGAAGTCCACAAGTCATAAAAGAGCCAAGGTTTCTCACCCCTGATTTAAGATCTCTGAACTCCGGAGTCAATTTGAAACTTGCTCCATGGCAGAAAATATGTTGTTGTGAGGTGTTTTTTTAAATTTATTTAAAGACTATTTTTCCCCTTAAGTCACTCACTGTTCCTTTTTTCTCCATTAATAAAATGTACATTCTCTCTTTTTTCTCTTTTTGCTGCTTTTTCTGCAGCTGCAGGAATTGTATCCAGGGAGGAAATAAAATGCTTGCTCATGTTATTTGTCCTACAACTGACATGATGCATTGTGTTTGCGTAAGATGTTTGGGACTGTATTCTTAAATATTGGCCAGATGCATTGAAGAATGAAACTGCCAGAGAGCCTTAACAGTGCCTGACGTGTAAAAAGAAAAGAAAAGAAAAGTTTTTGTAGAGGCTGAGTTTCCAAAGAGCCACATTTTGCACAACCCCAAGCCTGTGAAAAGATGGTTTGGTGGGTGGATTTAATTATCTTTCTTCCCAGCGCTGATCCTGGTGCTTCTGTTGAACCCTGACAGCCCCGCAGAAGGAAGGAAAGAAGGAAGGAAGGAAGGAAGGAAGGAAGGAAGGAAGGAAGGAAGGAAGGAAGGAGGAGGGAGGCAAGGTGGGAGGGAAAAAGGAAGGATAATAACCGCAGTGCTAATGCAGCCCTCAAATGAAATTGAGTTTGACACCCCTGATATAAAAGGTTGTTAAGTGAATCTGGTTTCCCCATTGACTTTGCTTGTCAAAAGGTTGCAAAAGGGGATCCCAGGATCTTGAGACACTGCAGCCATCATAAATATGAATCAGTTGCCAAGCATCCAAATGTAAATCACGTGACCCTGGGAAAGCTGAAACGGTCATAAGTCACTTTTTTCAGTGCCATTGTAACTTTGAACAGTCACTAAGTTTCCTCTTTTTTTGTCACATTTTTGACACCTTGCTAGGTGACTGGTGATACTCAGATATTGCCATATACTAAAAGTGGTACAATGGGTGTTCTCACCAGCTGTCTTCTGAGGGTTAACAAAGCTCCGCAATCTTATGGCTGTGCTATGGCGCAAAAACCGTAAGTCTGTTCTAATTTATCTTTTACTAACTTTATAGATCTTTTTGATTTGTGCTTATGTGCTGATTCTGGGTACTACAACTGTGTGATCAGGGACATTCTGTATTTTAAAATATTTTCTCCCTCTGCTATTGTTTGCGTACTGTAAATAGGTTACCTATTTATCAGTTGAAAGATCAGTTTAGTGATCTTTGTAACATTGTGTTGACTTGGCCCTGAGCTGCAGATATCAGATCCCCACATGCTTTGTGTGAATCTTGTTACTCTTGTACATAAACACGGCTCATGATTTAGCATATTGTGTGAATCCAGCTAATTAGTCTTTTATTAAACACACAGTAAGCAAACAGGACTTTAGTGTGATGTGTGAAATCTGTCATAGAGGATAAAAACTCTGGAACACAATCGTATCTTGAAAGTTGAAGCTGCTAAAAATGGTTCCTACAATACCTAACAACATGAGGGACTGAATTAGCACTGGTAGTCCTCAACCTGCAGCATCCCAGGGTCATATGATTGCCATTTGCGACCTTCCCAGTCGAATTTCAACAAGCAAAGTCAGTTGGGGAAACTGGATTTGCTTAATGACTGCATGGTTCACTTAACAACCATGGCAAAAATGTCATAAAATTGGGCATGACTCACTTAATTGCCTCATTTAATAATGGAAGTTTCAATCCCAATTT